ACAATAGCTAAGAGATGGAAGCAACCTAAGTGCCCCTCAACTGACTAGCGGCTAACAAAAATGTGGTTCATATATACTATGGAGTTCTATTTAGCAGTAAAGAAAGATGAAATAATGAAATTTGCAGATGGAACTAGAAACTGTTATACTAAGTGAAGCAACACAGACTCAGAAAAGAATCATATGTTCTCCCTCATATGCCCAAACCAAGCAGACAAGAAGAAATAACAAAAATCAAGGCAGGAATTTAAGAAATTGAACCATGATAATGAAGAGGAACCAGGGAACTAAAGGAAAAGAAAGAATCTGAAAGCGAAGAACAGTAGAAAACAGGTGTTAACAAGGGAGATATGGACAATAATGGGGTTATTTTAAGGGGAGGGGAGAGGGAAGGTTATACAAGGAACCTAGGGGATAAAGGGAAAGAAGGAGCTCTATAGAGGCAGGACCGTAGGAGAAGGGTATTATTAAGGGAGAAATGGGAAAAACATGGGCACCTTAAATGGGGAAACCAAGGTGGAAGAGTTAGACAATGTGAGAGATAAGCAATGCCTAGCTAGTTTTAGAAAACTAGAGGGAACCATATTAGGCCAACAACCTACTGACAAATTATACATACAACCAGATCAAAGAATGTAATATATGCCTAGGCAAGGTTTATCTGAGAGCGTTTGGTCTTCGCCCAAGCTCTGTCTACATGGCATATGATAATTAAAAATACAAGATTGGTGGAACTAACCTTCTTGGATGTTTAACAGCCATACTTTGAGGCCTATAACAATTTGATCAGGGGGACATAAAGGACAGTTTTTGCTTCTTGCCCTCCTAGGTCGACTAAGTTCCAGGAATCTATGAGAATCTCTCAAAATGTCCTGTAACTGTGGTGAGTCTCCTGTCCTATTGAGCAAGGAGGCTGTGGACACCCCACTAGATGGACCTGAACCAGTGTCCAGTGTACAAAGAGGAGGGTCAACACAGAGGAAACATTTCCTCCATGCTTCCAAGCGAAGCCAGTAATGGTCAAGCAGGAACTTTGACTTATCTTCACATAGACGGAACTGGTAAAGAAAGGAGCCAGGGGCTCCTCCCAATCCCATGTTATCCCTGAGGAACAGATCCTCAAATGATCTTAAGAGTAAAAAAAGATTGTTTTATCTGGGCCAACTGTAGGGTCTTAAACACCCAAAAAGAAAGTATAACCAAAGATGAAAGGGGTCAATATAATTTTTAAGAGTCCATTATGTATAGCTAAAGGCTACATAACAAGAAACAAAGCCAGACTGGAGATACCTTCCTTTGAGATATTGGCTAAGGTGGCAGAAGAGACTCCCAGGCAGTAACCCAGCATAGAACTGGGAAAATGAACATCAGACCCCAATTTTATCTAAAGGAATATTCACTACTGATTGCTGCTAGATGAGGAACAGATGATCTTCCTAAAACAAGGCTCTCTAGATAGGCTGACTAGATTCAGCAGATGGACAAGTGCTGGAGAGTGGCTGGGAGTGTCGACAACACAGAGGACAGTAACAGGGATGGACAA